TTTTCTTGTGTTTATTGGCTATTTATGTAACTTTGGAGAATAACACAGTCTTATTTAAAAATAGGTAAGGATCTGAATGGACATTTCTCTAAAGAAGATAAATGATTCACATATATTTAGTTCCCTTCATTTTTTAAAAACGAAATATGAAGTGTGTCATTTTTAAGTATACAATTTAGAGGCATTAACTACACTTAGAACATTGCATAAGCAAAAACTCTGTAACCACTAAGCAAACTCTTTTCTACCCTCCTCCAGTCTCTGGTAACTTCTGTTCTGCCTTAATACCTATGCATTTTATTACTCTGATATATAAGTAGAATCATAATTCCACCAAAATTATAAATGTTGTAGCTCATTTCACCATTTCATTCCCTTTTGATAACTAATATTCCACTGTGCATACAATGTTCCCCTTCCCATATTCAGTTTTCCTTTTTCCAAAGTCAGCCATGGTCCAAAAATTATTACATACAACAACATATTTTGAGAGAGCGAGGCATGCGTACGTTTCCAACACATTGAGTATAATCAGTTATTACTCACTTGCCACTTACTCTACCTCATTTACCAATTAAACTTTATGGTAGGTATGCATAGTACATAGAAGGCTTATATTGTCTGTGGTTTTAGTCATCAGCTGGAGTTCTTTGAATATACTCCGTGATGGACACTTGGATTAACTCAATCTTTGTGAGTAATGCTGCTGTTGTTGCAGAGCATCCCAATGTGAATTGGGTTGTCTTAACTGTGGGTCCTTATCTCTGCGCTTAAGATTCAATTGCAGGTACACATGAAAATGTTAGTAATGGGTTTATTTTCAAGAGAAAAGGGAAATTAATAACTTAGGGAAAAGAGGGAGAGGTAAGTTGGTTGATGCATTCTACCAATTCCACTGACTGGAACCCCAGTAGCAAGCTGAAAGCCAGCTAAGAGACAAGCCACGAGGCCAAGAGACCCCTGGAGCCTACTTGTCCGATTTTATATCCAAGTCTAGCTGCTTAAGTCCACCCTCTGGTCCCAGTACACTTCTCTTTGGTGTTGCTGGGATTTGTAGTTCAGGTGTCTAAAGTGGGGATGGAGTCCACAAAACCTGTATCTGTAGAGTTCGTTCAGGACATCCTTTCCCCCTTACACTATGAAAATTGCTGTGCAAATAATCTGAGTATGTTCCTGGTACCTAACAGTTAGTTCAACGAACTGTTTTTTGGGTTATGGTAATTCTGTGTTCAGTATTTTGAAGAACTGCCAAGCTATTTTCATGTCCTATCAGAAATCATTGCCTAATCGAAGACCAAGGTTTTCTCCTGTGCTTCCTTCTGAAGATTTCATTCTCGTATTTTAGGTCTGTGATCCATTTTAAGTTAATATGTGTATGTGATGTGAGGTCTAGGGGTTCAACTCTATACTTTGCATGTGGGTCCCAGATTGTCTCAACATCATTGCCAGAAAGACCATTCTTTTCCCCTGTTAAATTTTCTTGGTATATATGTTGAAAATTAGTTGATCATAAATATAAAAGTTTACCCCTGAATTTTCACCTGTTTCTTGATTATGTACTGTATATCTAGCACACTGGATTATTTATTTACTGCCTCTTTGTACTTAGATTTTAAAATAAGGAAGTATGAATCTGTTTACAAGACGGTTTTGACTGTTAATGATCCCTTGCATGAATTTTAAGATAATGCTTTGAGTCTGTTGTTCAGTTTCTGGAGTATTGCCAATTCAACAATCAATATTTAAATTCCTATTCCTAAATAATGGAGTTAATTAAGTTTTAATCAGTTGATCATTTTTTTTACTCTTTCTTACTTTGAGAAACTATACTAATTTCTGACCATCAACTACATCGTTGATTTTATAATAGTCGCCTTTTCTTTATAACCTGTAATCGCCTTCCCTTTTCATCATCATAACTCTGTAAGCTTGTACTTTTTTTTAATTATTCACCATAGTATTTCTATTCTAATTCACTGTTCATATTCAATTTCTTCACACTGACTCCTTCCTTGATCCTTCAAATAAATGCCTTTCTGGCCTTAACAATACTTAACTTTTGAATTGGGATTGTCTTCTCATCTCCTTTATCTCACTTCGTTCACTTTCAACTTTTTAAAAAAGTGATCTCCTCTGCCAACTTCTATCGCTTCATTAGCTATTCACTCATTTAATCCTTGGCCAAGTGCCTAGCTGTACTGGGCTTCAGCATTTCTTTTCTGTAAAGTAAGTGAATTGGTCTTGATTAGTTCTTTTTATGCTCTCATTGTGTGCTGAATTTGAGGTGACAATCTTAGAATCATTTGCCATACCAGCAGCAGCCATTGGAGGCCTCTGTGGAACCCACAAAAGTACAGTTTGAAAGTCACTGCAAAGTCCCTTCATCCCTAAAATTTGGTAACTCCTTAGCGCACTTACAGAACTTGACATACTTCTTGAAAGTTTCAAATAATCCCTGCCCCCTGCACCATTCCCCCCTGGCCCCCCAGTTATCTTTCTCCTGGATATTTTATAGTATCTAAACTATAGATGGTCCTCTCCCAGTATCTCCCCTGCCCCCCACCCCAACATACACATACACACACACACATAGGATGAGAATGTATCTCTTTCTAAATACTATTTAGCTTAGGTCTTAACACTTCCAAGACTTTCCAGAGCAGGCCTACTCACAGTTAACATTTTTTCCCCTAATAATCCACTACAGTAATCATTTATTCCTTCATTGGCACTTTATATTATGCACAAAAATTATATTACACAGTATTTTGAGCTACGTAAAAATGTAGGCTCAGATTCTGTACCAAAGAGAAATAATACAGTGGGAAAATAGAAATGTACAAAATGATTATGAAGATGTAAGTAATGAATGCTATAGGAAAGAAACAGATGAAGGTCTATGGGAGTTTAAAGAGAGTGAAGATAACATTTCCCTGGGAGAATAGGATAAAGCATCACAGAGAAGATGGTTGAGTCTTGAGGGAATTTAGTACCTGATACGTAAAAGTGGACGTTCCTGACTGAAAGAGCTGTGTGAACAAGGCCAAGGTAGAAAAGCACAAGATGGTAGGTGTTTTAATTTGGCTTAAGAAATAGTTTAAGACAGTATTGGGGAATTTATAAAGATAAAACAGAATTGGACATAGTTTTGTTAGTTGTCTTTTTTTTTAATTGTGTATCTTGTTTCCCAATTATGATATAAACTCTTTGAAACAGTAATATGTCTTCTATGTTTAGCCTCCTGCACAGGGCTATGAATAAGGAGGCGGTATCTAGTAGTCTTACTGCATGTGTCAAAGTGTTGTAGGACCAAGTGAGAGGCGCCCCCTTACCTCCAAACCTGCCCACACTCAAAAGGTTCATCTGTTGCTTCAAGACAAAGCATTTAAGACCTTTATGGAAAGAAACTTTTATGCACTTGGTGTGCAGCAATGAAAAGACAAAAGATACAGTTTCCAAATCTAGCACCTGAAGTTACCCATCCACCCATGGTAAAGGCCCAGCCAAACAAGGTTTGCCCAAAGCAAGGCCACCAGGGCCTGAAAGTTTGTGACATGTTTAAGGCACCTTCTGTGGGGACCCGTAGAAAAGGGTCAGAAGGGGACCCAGCATGTCTGGAAGAAAAGGAGCAAAATCATAAATTAACAGTCAAAGCTGCTGTTGTTAACCTCCCCCAGGGTCTTTCACCTACATCTGTTAACAACCAGTTGAGAACCAAAAAGCAAGTGTAGCAAGTGTAGCATCTTCACATGTCTCTCAGTTCCATGTGCCTCTTCCAGGTCTTCCTCTGGCACTCCATCTTTCTTTCCTTCTAGCCTTCTCTCCTCCTTGCTCAGCTCCACCCATCCTGAGTAGAGTGCTAGACTGGAAACTCCCCTTTTCCTGGGAGACCACCCTGTTACAAAAAGTTGGATCAATAATTTCCCAAACAAGCTTTAGGCAAGATAATGTGTCACACCCTTCTTTCTGTTTATTTAGATTGGCTTTATCAATAAAACATATTTTACATCTCCATAGTTATAATTCTGTATAATTTAGAAGTCCTCATGAAATTTAAAAGAATTTGACAGATCGGAGCTTTGGATTCAGTTAACAGTACCCAGTTTGATTCATTCTCAAAGGGACATAAGAAATGCTGTTCTGAGTTCAGACAAAGAAAGTATCAATCCATAAGCCTTATTTTTGAAACTTAGTTTTAGGTTATCATTTTAAAGAATATTTTCTGGGCCCTCCCTGGTGGTGCAAGGGTAAAGTGCAGTACTATGAAGCTATCCTAAGCCACTGCAGCACAAGTTCGATCCCCAGCCAGGGAGGTGATCCACATGGCTCAGCAGACCTCTTCTGTCTCTCCCACTGCTTCCCACAGCAGTGAATTTCAGTTGATCTGCATGTTTTGCTCCCCACTTTGTGTCTGGTGAAGCCTTTCACCCCCTGCACCTCTGGCCTGTCCTGCAGTTCTTGTATACATAAATAAATAAAATCTTTTTAAAAGTAAGTAAATAAAGAATATTTTTTTTTAGCATTCAGATTTCACTTAACTAGAAGTATTTTTGAAAAGAAATTAAAAGGTACACCCAAGATACAGTTTTGGACTATGTGAGGGTAATACTTTTCTTTAAAAATTTTTTTGAACAATGTTATTTTATGTGGTTGAGGAAAAGATTAGGAAATTAACTACAGTACTAAAACAGTGTTCACATTACATAGATTTTTGGTACTGCTGGTATCCCTGGAAAGCATATGTTATGTACAGACAAACTAGAAAGACAAGGAAATTAAGTGTGCTTTTTCTGTGCAACGGCACAATATATGCCAGCCTTTACCATTTATATAAATCAAGTTACTCTTGACATATTAAATTAGGAAATATATTTAGAATTGAGGGTTTTTTTTTTTTTTGGTCATTTATATGGAATTATGACAACTTTTTTTAGAGATTTGTGTGCTAGTATAATTCATTACAATATTTGTTTTGTTTTAAAATCTATGTCATGTACTAGGTGAAAAACCATTTCGCTGTGATGAATGTGGCATGAGATTCATACAGAAATATCACATGGAAAGGCACAAGAGAACTCATAGTGGAGAAAAGCCTTACCAGTGTGAATACTGTTTACAGGTAAGAGGTGGTTTAAAATTCTTCCATCCTAAATTTAATTATAAAATAATTACAATAAAATAATTTAGAAAGTATCATTTACTACTAGAACTATTTGAAGAACTTTCCAACTGTTGCTGATTAGAATTACAATAGAACAATTGGCTCAGCAAATTAATTTGGAATTGCTTATATTATTACATTATATTTTTATATTAATTACTTTTTTCTTTTCTTTTCTTCTTTCTTTGGTTGACCGAAAACACAAACTTAAACAAAAAACTCACTACCAAATTCTGAATTCCACAGTATTTTTCCAGAACAGATCGTGTATTGAAACATAAACGTATGTGCCATGAAAATAATGACAAAAAACTAAACAGATGTGCCATCAAAGGTGGCCTTCTGACATCTGAGGAAGATTCTGGCTTTTCTACATCACCAAAAGATAACTCACTGCCAAAAAAGAAAAGGCAGAAAACGGAGAAAAAATCATCTGGGATGGACAAAGAAAGTGCATTGGATAAATCTGACCTGAAGAAAGACAAAAATGATTATTTGCCTCTTTATTCTTCAAGTACTAAAGTAAAAGATGAGTATATGGTAGCAGAGTATGCTGTTGAAATGCCACATTCTTCTGTTGGGGGATCACATTTAGAAGATGCTTCAGGAGAAATACATCCACCTAAGCTGGTTCTCAAAAAAATTAACAGTAAGAGAAGTCTAAAACAGCCCCTGGAGCAGAATCAAACAATTTCACCTTTATCTACATATGAAGACAGCAAAGTTTCAAAATATGCTTTTGAACTTGTGGATAAACAGACTTTATTGGATTCAGAAGGCAATGCTGACATTGATCAGGTTGATAATTTGCAAGAAGGTCCCAGTAAACCTGTGCATAGCAGTACTAATTATGATGATGCCATGCAGTTTTTGAAGAAGAAGCGCTATCTTCAAGCAGCAAGTAATAACAGTAGGGAGTATGCGCTGAATGTGGGTACCATAGCTTCTCAGCCTTCTGTAACACAGGCAGCTGTGGCGAGTGTCATTGATGAAAGTACCACAGCTTCCATATTAGATTCACAAGCACTGAATGTGGAGATTAAGAGTAATCATGACAAAAACGTTATTCCAGATGAGGTACTGCAGACTCTATTGGATCATTATTCCCACAAAGCTAATGGACAGCATGAGATATCATTCAGTGTTGCGGACACAGAGGTGACTTCTAGCATATCAATAAATTCTTCAGAAGTACCTGAAGTCACCCAGTCAGAGAATGTTGGATCAAGCTCCCAAGCATCCTCATCAGATAAAGCCAACATGTTGCAAGAATACTCCAAGTTTCTGCAGCAGGCTTTGGACAGAACTAGCCAAAATGATGCCTATTTGAATAGCCCGAGCCTTAACTTTGTGACTGATAACCAGACCCTTCCAAATCAGCCAGCATTCTCTTCCATAGACAAGCAAGTCTATGCAGCCATGCCCATCAATAGCTTTCGATCAGGAATGAATTCTCCACTAAGAACAACTCCAGATAAGTCCCACTTTGGACTAATAGTTGGTGATTCACAGCACTCATTTCCCTTTTCAGGTGATGAGACAAACCATGCTTCTGCCACATCAACACAGGACTTTTTGGATCAAGTGACTTCTCAGAAGAAAGCTGAGGCTCAGCCTGTCCACCAAGCTTACCAAATGAGCTCCTTTGAACAGCCCTTCCGTGCTCCATATCATGGATCAAGAGCTGGAATAGCTACTCAATTTAGCACTGCCAATGGACAGGTGAACCTTCGGGGACCAGGGACAAGTGCTGAATTTCCAGAATTTCCCTTGGTGAATGTAAATGATAATAGAGCTGGGATGACATCTTCACCTGATGCCACAACTGGCCAGACTTTTGGCTAAAAAAAAAAAATGTGTAAATAATACTGGCACTTTAGAACAGATTAATCAAGAGTGGGGTTACTCTGTGTAAAATGGAGTGCTGTACAGATTTAAGAGCAATGCGTTATAACAAGTTAAGCTGATATGAATAGCAAGATAATCCAATAACTGCATTTTGTTTGGTTAGTCAGCATTCTTTGAACTGCCTTACATGTTGTCACCTTTATAGAAGCAATGCATAACTTGTTTTAGATCAGAAACTTGCTATTCCACCTACACAAAGTTTAAAAGGAAAAAAAAAAAAGACTCGCACAATTGTTTCCTAACTGATAACATTGTACATTCTTAGGAGATTAGTAATTGTGTGAAATTTACTCATACTGTTTCTAAGTTTTTCAGCATAGTCATTGCACTTCAGCAGGGAATCTGAGTATACTTTACAGACAGAGTGAACTTAAAAGTTTAAATGTCAAGAGATTATGGCTTAAATAAATTAGTGTGTCCTATAGGGGGGAAAAAGAAACCACATCTTTAAAAGAATGATATGCCATATACCCTTGATTTTAATTTTGCGTTATATTGACATGTTTTTTTTTTTTTTGAGAAAAAAAGTAATAAAAATCTGATAGTCTAAGACTCCACTATTTAAAAGCCTAATTACTTTTAAAATATGCATACTTTCAAAACTTTTACCAAAATAACTGTTGAAGCATCCACTTCTCTGGAAGTATGCATATTGGTGTCAGTTTCTTTGTACAGTGTACGTAGATATTTTTTATGATTTTTCATGTGCAGGTATCAAGGTTGAAATTTTAGTAAAAAAAAATATTCTGTAGATTACATTCCCAAGAACATAATGCTTACACAAAATGTATATTCCACGTTTTAAAGCTTAATTGTATTTTACTTTACATATACACTTCAGTTAACATAGAGCACTTAGAATCTATTTGGTATTTTTGATTTCTCAAAGTAAAAAAGAATTTAGATTTTTAGGTTTGATATGGTTGTGTCATAATCATCTCATAATTGACTTAATTTTTGGCAATAAAAGGAAATTGGGTATCTTTGGAACTGTAAAACCTGGTTTAATCTCTTTCTAGAATCTTAATAGATTGGATAATTAAACAGTATCCAGAGAACTAAAGAAATGGGCATTTAAATTGCTTATTTTATCTTGAGTTACTTTTTAATGAACACGGCTCATTACAATTTTACAAACCAAAAGTGTTTACTAATTCTAGTAACTACAATTTCTTTTTCAGCTAGATGAGTGATCGGAGACTTTTTGTTGCATTTCAAAATCTAAATAAACTACAGACTTTATCCTTATACCACGAATGTTTTTTTTTAATACTTGTCTTAAAATAATACAGCATGGTACAATAAATAGTGCTTATACATATATATATATATATATATATATATTATATATATATATAAATAGATACACACATGTATACTTTTCTAAAGAATGATGACTTGAGTTACATATTGGGCAGTTTTGATTTTTGGAAAATAATAGTAATATTGATTTTATCCTCTTAAATTTGTTCCAACTTTTTGGTTTTAATCTTAGATTTCCATCCTCTTTGTCACAATGCACATACTGATTAGCACCAGTGATAATTTAAAATTAATACCTTTGGAAGATGAAACTTTATAGTTAATTTCCATCTTAACTTTTATATTGACCCTACAGATCTGCAGTCTTTGTTTCAGTATAGATTGTTGTACATTTAAATTATTTTATTTAATAATATTCCAAGACTGTTCTCATAACGCACGGGGACAAAGAGACACCCACTTTTAACAGCTTTCACATTTATTTTGAATATGTTGTGTTTTATGGTAAGGAATATAAATTATGTTTAATGTGGTTTCTGCTACACTTTGGTTATTAAGCTTTGCTTGAAGTAATTAATTTTCCCATTTGACAGCTTTCTTTGCTGCCAAATTTTTCAAGAATTTTGACTTCTTTGAAGTAGGTATTTAAGTTCTGCCATTATTGACTCTTAAGAATGTTGTGTGTTACAGATCACAATTGCAAGAAGGCTTAATTCAGGTGAGATGCTAAGAATGGAACTGTGCTCACAGTAGGTAGGCAGTTATATTTTTCTCATACAATTGAAGATAGTAGGATTTTATTTGCTGAATTGATTTTTTTTTTTTTTTGTTAGTCTGATCAAACATTTTGTCCTGTTGAGAACTTGATGTTATTCTTGGTACAATGTAAAGTTTTTTTGTTTTAATATCACCACCAGCACAGTTTTTAGAATGTGACTCAACTGCTAAGCAGTTAGGATAAGCTTAGGATGGAAGGCCTTTGAAAATGATAGTTATGCAAGCAGATTTTAAGGTGTTGCATTCCTGTCTTCAACACATTTATTTAAGTCTACATAATGGCAGATTTTTTTCTACCATATTAGAAGCGTTTTTAACATCAGTGATACTTTGGCATAACTTATTGACTTACCATTTATGTATAGTTACTGTTCTCTTACTGTGAAATTCTCAATGCCTACTAGAGTTACCTTGTATTATCATCATATGATAAGCATCTCAACAATTTGGGTTTCCCTACTTGGTTCAGAAAGTTTATTTCTCTCTGGGCATTAATAGAGAAAGCAAGGCTGCCTGTGCTACTTTAGGTCAGAATTTTGAGGGTATGAGATACCCTTTCACAACTAGTGTTTCATATTTCTCTCAGTGAGCAAAGTGTTCTATTAAAAACCTACTCTTACACCCTTAAGCTTTTTGGTCAGTGTGAGTGAGGGATGCTTTTTCACTTGGACCTACTCTGATGTTTGAAGATTGGAAACACCGTTAAAGGACGGAATACCTCTTGAACATCTTTTAAAAGCAGGTTTTTGTTTTGTTTTTTTTTAAACTTATTGCACACACATTTCATTTGGTTTAGAATGTTTGAGTGGCTCCTAAAGTTTGAACCTACTTGCAGATTTTCTATTTGATACCATAGAAATCCATCCTCTTGGCTCTGGCTGACTGTCAGTCGGGGCATTTTCTCTGAGAGGCAGGAGAGACCTTGTGCTCAGGGTAGGCTAGTATTTCCACAGGCAAGAGAAATTTGCAAAGTGCCAGCTAGGTTAATCTTTCACCACTTCTATTAATTTGGTTTTTTAAAGGGCTGATAAAAAAAAAAAAAAAAAAGCCGGGAAACTTTAAAAGTAGGCATTGCTATAGAACTGCATTTCTTAGAACACTTAAACTAGAATTTGTTTTTCCACAGTATATTTACTTGAAGAAGCACTATTATAATCAGTGAGAAACTTCTTGACTCTGCAATTTAATTTAAAATTTTTCCGTTTCAAATTGCTTTATTTCAGGGAAATAATTTTCCAGTTGTTTTTGCTATATTCTGCAAATAAAAACCATGTTTCCTTCTTTCACTTAAACTTTGGTAGGAAACAAACTAAAGCAGACAAACATTTCTTGTTGTGTTTGTTGCTTTCTTTAATCCAATGGATAAAAAAAGTAAAACCCTGTAAACATTATTTTATTTTTTTATGCAATACCATGCTGTAAATATGGTTCATCAAATAAGGATGTACCTATGATTGAATCTTTAATTCTGCACAGTTAGAGTTTATATATAAATGTGTCTTGACAATCAAGGACTTTTATGTGAGTCTTCCTTTATGATGTTTATTAATGTTATGCATTCCATTTGTTTTGAAGTGAGTACCAATGTGCTAATTTGTATTGTCTGAAAGTATGTAATGTTTTTACAGTTTGTTTTTAAGAATCTGTAAATATGTACAAACAAATCACAGTACTGCTTTATGTTAGAAGGCATATGATGTTGTACTGTATGTAAGCAATAATACATAGCAGTGCTAACTTTACAAGTAGCATCAGGAAAGTTCTAAAAACATTTCAGAGTTATTAATTATCCTTATTTCATTTAATAATGATTATCTTTAATCAGTTTTTATAAGCAAATTCCACTGTTCCTCCTTTTGGAACGTAACACTGTTTACACAGCATAATTGAAGTTGCAGGGGAGACAGGCTAAATCTGACTTCATCTGTATCACTGTCACTAAGCATTGAATGGCCTTACCACTCTTCTGCAAGATGGAGGAAGACCGCAAAACTTAGTGCCCATCACACTGAAGTAAGGGGGTGTGTTTTTTCCTGCTTCTGTACTGCTACCTGACTTTGTGGTTTGCTTTGGATTTTAATATTTGTTTCTTTTTAGCTTCAAGCCCATAGGTTTTGAAGTGACTTCAGCTCCATTGTGAAATAGATAGTTCTCTTCATATTTCATAGCTACAGTTCAATAATTCTAAACTTTCTACTTTGATTTTTACTTATTTTTCAAGCTTGATTTCTCAGCTGACCAGATGAATTTATTCAACTTCAATACAAAGAAAGAAAACCTATTGTAGTTTGAATTGAGTAGATATTATACTGTACAGAACAGCTAACTATTTGAACACACACATCACTGCTTTAGAAATAAAACCGCCAATTTATAAATGTATATGACCTACATTTTATAGGAGAAATGTTTTTAAATGCTAGTCATTTATATAATGTGCTTTGAAGGATTTGCTAGTCCACTTCTGTCACTTTTTAGTACACTGGTATCTTTTATATGTAATATGTATGCTTTTTATTATTGTAGCAAAGCATTTCAGTAGAAAGAATTTTGCAACAATATGGGGGAAATTTTTCATTGTTGGATTTGAATTATACTGGATTTTATCTGTGTAGTCTTGTCTTTATTTTAATGCTGTCTGGAAGGGAACTTGGTATCCAAATAAAGCAGGTAACCTCATTTTACTTCAAGGGCATACTGTGTAGTGCTGAATTTAATCTGGAAATCTGATGATTTTGAGAAAAAGTTTATAAAAAATTGTACAGAAGAAATTAAATGTGTGATGGAAATCCTGATGGTGGAGCACGTTGAATTTTCTGATACAGAGTGTTATTTTCCTGGGATATGCCCTCTGCCTTCTTTGTATTTCAACTAATAAAGGAAAAACCCTGTCATTGAACCTGGTAGGATAACAGGACATTCTGACTATACAGTATTACTTTTCCTATTCCAATCATTGACCCTTTCTCAATCACTGTAAATTTTATTTTCTATTTACTATTGATAATTAAAACATGTACATATGTAGATGATGTTGTATAGAACTGAATGAATTAGGTCGCTATGTTTGAATGGGTAACTAAGTGGAAATCTGGATACTGAGAGTTGAAGTGCCAGGACAAATTACAGGAGAAAAAGGGGGCATCATGTGTTCTAGGAAGGTCATAGCAGATGTTTCTTCAACCCTCTGGGAAATCATTGTGAAAGAATCTACTGCAAACTCAGTGTCTGTGGGTCCTTCCTCACCTTTCCCAAATAATGAGCACTAAATTTTAAAAGCTACTCAGGTGAAAATTGCTTTGCAATGAAACTTATCACATTGAAATTTTCACTGTTTAAATATTTGTGGTATTTTTAAATATAAGCTTTTCACATCACTAGTCAACAGACAATTGAAATTCGGTAAGTCAATATATTTTTAAATATATTCTACCCTCCAAATAGAATTGTTTCTAGACAATTGTGGGAGGATTTTTTTGTTTGTTTGTTTAAGTGCATTTTTTATTGTCATTGTAAAAATAAAATCTTGTTTGACCCCATATTATGCCATGGGTGAATTGCTGAGCCTTTATAATACATGAAAGCTTGTTTCATGCATAATCATGAAACAAATGTTCTTTAAACTGACCTATTACAACGGTAATGAGTTTCACAACCAAGAATATTATTGTCATGTAGTTAATATTGCCACTCGGAGTTTATAATACCTCAATGTATTGAGGTACAAAAGGTAGTTTCATTTTAAATTTAATTATTAAACTATACTACAAATTCTGCATTTTAATTGTGGACACTGGCTGAAAAATAAAATACAGCATGGAGTTTAATGAATAATTTCCTAAGTGAATTTTTAACAATAACTGCTGGTAAATATTTTTAAATGGTACGTAGATTAAGGTTACACAGAGAAAAGGAAGTTTATATGGAATTAACAGTTATCAACTAATTGGGTGACGGCAAAGTCTTTTCTAGCTTTGCATAGTGTTGCTAATGCTAAAATGCAGGGATCAAATGTTACTCTTGTCAATATTTTAGACTTTAAATATGTTTAATATAGAGCTACAAGACATTTCTTCCTTTACAGATAAGATTATTTGTGTGGATTTGGGGGGGGGGTCATTAATGGATATGGCTTTGTTTTTGCCCTTTTACTACCTTGTAGTCCTCTATCTTGTGACCGTTGGGACACTTTGTCTACAGTTACAAGTGCAGTCTGGGTCCTTGGAAACATGAAAATTGGACTCTCTA